ACAAGCATTAAATGGATGCTTTTTCAGCATCTAAATCCCTGAGCACTATTAGCAAGGCGCTATATCACTTTAAAAGTAGTTTAACTTTAAGAAATATATTCTATTGCATTCTCATGCTGTTTTTGAATAAAATAGCACATCCTGTGTGAGCGGCCCCTAGCAGAGCAGGAGCAAAAATGGTTCTGTGAAAGCACCCTGTGAAACATTACTTCCTGTTCTGCTTTCATGAGAGCCGAAGGTCTTCTTCTAGAAGGTCAAATCTAGCCAGCAATATAGTTGTGAGCCAAAGGCCTCCATTAAAACATTCAGAGAAAGGGCACATCAGCCCTTTTTGTGGCGTTTTCCATCCTTCACTGTGTTATTTCTTCATGAAGTGGATATCCAGATGTTGAAGATTACATCCCAAATAAAGCCTTCCAGTGGGGTCAGGGCTCACGACCGAGCGCAAAGCCACAGAACTCCCACGGTTAGCGCGGGAACTCTGAACTTTCTGCACTCCGAAATCACTATCAGTGTTTAAGAGTATCCATGGTGAGGAAGGCATCAACTGCAATGTTCCCAGGGAGATAGAACGACACCTTTCCCCATTACTGTACGGCTTATTGAGCTTCAATTACTCCTAACACACACAATGATAAGAGAGAAAGAAATCGAGAGAGAGAATAAGCGAGAGAGAGAGCTTCTAAGGGATGTGAAAGAGATGAAACAGGAGGCAGTGAAAAGGCCTGCTATTAGATGTCACTGGCCTTTTGTGTCCGTGTCAATGAGAGCAGATTAAAGTATTTGAAATAATCTTACTGGGGCATTAACAGAGCTCAGAAGGTAAAAGAGGAGAAGAAAAGGAGAAGACGAGGAGTCAATCACAACACACATACATTTACACATGAAATGAGATTAGATACAGCCATCCAACGTAAACTAAACACACCCTCTGAGAAGAAAGCTAGGCAGTTTTAATTTCACTTGAGTAATTCAATTTACACCAATCAGATTTTCAAAAGCTTGCCAATGAGTCCAAAGACTCGAACCCGGTCCCGTGAGCGCACGTCTCGCACTGCTGCGAGTAAGATTTGTTCTTTTAACAATCTAATAAGGCATTGTTAGTTGGCTTTATTTCCCTGACATTCCTCTGGTTTCGCTGAAGTGGCCTGTTGTGCTGTCTTATGAGAGGAACCTAATTAGGAAATCACTTTCATTACTCTTCCAGAGGAATTAGCGCTAGCCTTGCTAATTACTGCTGTAAAACCTAATCAGCTCTTTGAAACAAAACCACACTAATGAGCTCTTATTTATTCAGCTAAATAACTTCAAGGAAAGGAAGACGCTCAAAATCATATTTTTGATGAATTTGGGAGCACGCGCTCATCTGCGCTTGCCATAATTGATTCTGTTCCATCTTGCGCCTTGTTTGTTGGGAACCCCAGAATGTGAATGCGGCCAAGAAAATATTGAGAGCTCCAGTAAACTCTTCCATATCCCCCCCTCCCCCCCTCTCGTTTCAAATGACCTATTTTCTCGGCTTTGAGAGACACGTGACTAATAGGAAACTGTTACTAATTCCTTTTTTATTCGCAGGCAATTAGCGATGCCCTCGCACCTGAGCCTAAAGGGCTCTGCGGTGACCTCGAGCGCAGCTGCATGACTTCAGTCAGACCCGAAACACAACCGTTCAGATCACAAACAGCTACAACAGGAGGATCTGAGGAAGCATTTCAGACAAACTTTATGTAGGGAAACAATCGAGAAGAGTAAGTGATGGGCAGTGTGTTTGTGTGAGCGTGTGCATTGGGTGGAGGTGATGCCACGTGGCATCGAGGGGCTGCAGCTGTCTTTGAAAGCTGTGAAGCGTTCTAGCCCAGTGGAGCAGAAATGGGCCAGCCGCACAAACACAGCAGCCAGGTAGAAGCCTCTCTTACTCTGTTACAAACACGCACACACACTACACTACTGCTAGCGAACCTACAGCTGTGTTCATCTGATAGCACAGGCCACTGACTTATTAACACACAGATGAGAACACACCTTTGACACTTAACCGCACTTTAATCTGCAGAAATCCATGCTTAGTTTGCTCGCACCACGGCACGATCGAGTCAGAAATGAAACAGTCTCGCCCTCAATAATAACGTGACATGGTGGTATGATCTTTTAAACAAAAACGGTAGGAGACGTGCTTCGCTGCACACGCTGCTGCCTCCAGAAATCTTGTACATCTTCACTGCTGATTATTCATGCATGCACACTTCAGAGTACACTACATACTCAACAACCCCGACAGGACCTCAAAACAGCCTAGCCCGATCACTAAACAATTACGGTTTTGCAAACAAATGGCTTCTGGTCCCAGGAAGCCTTTTTTATGCTTGTTGTCAGGTTGTTTTTCTCACTGATGGTGAATTCTTTGAACTGCTGCCTTTGATTTGCAGCGTTTTATACTGAGCAATAGAGCATATACAGTGATATAGAGCAGCCACAGAGTGTGTTCACAAAGTGTTCATAGAGCAACACTTGTAATTTTGATATGTTTGAAAGTGAATTGAATTTATTAAGTGCCTTATCTCTGTAGTGATGCTAACACTGCATTAAACATAGGCTCTTATTTAACTTGATATGAATTAAAACAGGTTGTATAGGAAAAGAAGTGCAGTCTGTTATTTGTTTGTGCACTACCAATCCAAAGTTTGGGGTCAGTAATTTTTTTTTTTCATTACAAATACACAGTATTATTGTGACATATTATTACAGTTTAAAATAGCTGTTTTCTATTTTAATATATTTTAAAATTACCTTTATTTCTGTGATGGCAAAGCTGAATTTTCAGCTGCCATTACTCCAGTCTTCAGTGTCACATGAAAATCATTCTAATATGCTGATTCATATTTATATGTGTGTGTGTGTGTGTGTGTATACTTGGTATTTATCACGTTATGGGGACCAAATGTATAGTAATACCAGTAAATTTTGACCTTGTGGGGACATTTTTATGTCCCCATGAGGAAACAAGCTTATAAATCACACATAATGGAGTGCATTGAAAATCTGAAATAGCAGAATGTTTTCTGTAAGGGGTAGGTTTAGGTGTAGGGCGATAGAAAATATGGTTTGTACAGTATAAAAACCATTACGCCTATGGAGAGTCCCCACAAAAAATGGAAACCAGTGTGTGTGTGTGTGTGTGTGTGTGTAGCCTATTTTATATTATTTAGGCACTTATAGGCTATAGATTGACAGAATGTTCTAATTCAACATGCCATGTTAAGTCAATTTTAACATTTTCTTATATTGATATTGTTTATTTCTTACTCCTTAACAGTTCATCAGGCTCTGAATGATTTAATCTATGCCATATTTTGGAATAGGCCTATCTGAAGGCCATGTTCCATAGTTCTTAACTGTAGCATTTGTTATAATAAGGCTAGCCTATTAATCATTACCAGGCCAATAATGACTTTTTAAAATTAATCAATATAGCATTTGTTATGAAGAAACAACCGCCTGCACATTTAGAACCAATAGCTACAACATGCCAAAGTTGTAATAAAAATCTAGTCCCTTCACAGATTATCTAATATAAATTCTACAACAAGTTCGACTAAATTTTACACAATAAATAAGCCTACAATAAAACGTGATAAATTCTAGTAAAGGTGGTCTAAAAAGGTGGTCTAAAAAGATGAGTAGTTTAAAAAGATTTTAATATATGCTAGTGCTGGTTCAAGAGTGTTTTCTCCTCTTTTCATCAGTCTTTTTAGTTTATTTGCCTTTTTAGATACTGTTCGTCTTTCTCCATAGCATTTAAAGGGGCTGTTTCTCTAAATAATTAAAATAGATCACATATTTGACCATCAGCACTGTGATGGGAATGGCTCGTGCAAATCTTAGCACACTTCTCAGAG